GAAACAGCTGCTCCACTACAGCCACATAATCTCTGCTAACCTCCCAGACACATCTGGAGACCCCACACCCAGCCTTACCTGCTGGCATATGCCAAGGTGGGGGACTTTTGGGGACTATGATGACCTTGCCTGACAGGCACATCTGGAGGTCAGACGAAGCCCTTGGAAGGCCTACCTGTTGCTGCTGGGTCACGTTCACAGATTGCAGCAGTGATCTCACTCACTGGCCCAGTGTTCAACTCAGCATGCAGGCCCTAGACCCAGTCACTGGCTTCAGGCCTCATCTCCCAGCTTCCTGCTGGTCACCTTACCCAATATCCCTCCCAGGCACCCAGTGCAGCTCCCCCAGGCCTGAACGGAATTGCTCAGCTGCTCCTGTACAGGAAGTGAGAGAAAGTATAGGGAGAGGGATGTGCACTGGGATGAACTGGAAGCCCTGGCAATGATGCTGTCCCCGCAGTGCAGCTCTTTCCAGTCATCATGTGTCCTTGCTGGTGTCAGCTCTTTGTTCTTCCCAGATCAAGTCTCAGTGAGACCCAGCAGCATTGCCAGAGCTAATCCCTGCTGCCATGATATCAACCTCCTCCCTGTCACAGGCCTGTCCCTAAGCTCTGGATGCTGCTGTGCCACATACCAGCTAGAGCCCACAAGATCACATGTCCCACACTCTGACCATAGTCACACAAAAGCTGACACAGTCCCTGCCTGATGTCAGACAAGCCTGGTGCGTCCCTTGCCAGCACTTCTGATGCCAGCCCTCTCCTGTTTTCCTGTGCCTGCCTGTGGTGTCTAAAATGATGAGGACGAATCAGATCCTGAAAGGTGCAATTCAAGAACCTAGGACTTAGCAGGAGCCTCAGACCCTTCTGGGGTTTGGAAGCAAGACCCTCAGGTGTCCGTTTCTGTAGGGGTGCTGAGCCATGACCAAGGGCAGGCAAACCTTCATGTAAGATAATGACAACGTTCCACTCACAGGGCCTCCCAGTGGTTCAGTGTCCAAGAAAAATTGGGCCGCAGCATCTGCTGGGATTGGCTGTTGCTGATCTTGACACTTAACGTGTAGGTTAGGAGTCTCTTCTTTCATGGAAAAACTTGTCCATTGTGGAGCGTGTCCACGCCCAGTGGTGGCATTGTAGGAGAGCCCAAACCACATTGCATTTTCTGTCTACAAAGGCAGAGCCAGGGCACTTTCCATACTGGACTCTTAGGAGTAATGTCAGGTCAAGTGGGACCATCCAGGTCATCCCAGGCAGGGCCAGTGGTGGGCTGTCCTGGATCTGAGGTCCCTTATCCCTGCTTTGCATCCCATCCAGGGAGGACTTCAATGGCCATGGAGAAGCCTCTTCTACAGGAGTGTGTGAAGGCACCCTGGTGTTCAGATAACACCTACCTTGGGCATGGGGAATCCGAAAACAAGATTGAGATGTGGTCCTACCTATGGCAGCTCACAAACAGCTGGGATTGAGAAGATTCCCCATTGCAGATGAAGGTGTAGAAGGCAGTGTGTGTGTGTGTGTGTGTGTGTGTGTGTGTGTGTGTGAGGGGGGATGTCACTGAATTGGGCTCCACAGGGCATTCAATGTTGAGACTGAAGTTTAAGGTTGATAGTAGTCTGCTTTCCTAGGCGGAGGAGTCACTTTTGATTGAGATCTGGAAGAAAGGGGCCCAAAGACTTTGCCCTCAGTTCCCTCTTCCTTCTGCATCTCCACTGGGGTCCTGAGGCCTGCTCATATCATCTGTCTTCAGGGTTCAGCCTGCAGGACACAGAGTAGCTCTGAACAAAGCCTTCTGGGACATTTGCAGGGCAATGAATTGGAGTGAGATAACAGAGTGGACTTTGTGACCCAAATGAAGTGTTCAGTCGAGGCTCAACTAGAAGGATAGACTAGGATCTGATGGAGTTTGGTGGTTTTGTTTAAGCATTCTGTAGGTGGACCGATGGTTGAGCAGCACAGGAAAGCTGAAGGGCATGGGGCTCTTCCTGGAAGATGGGGAGAGGGCTTCAGGAGCCCCTGTAATGGCAGCCACTGGCCAGGGAATCACATTGTGGGTCTGACCCTTGCCTTAGAGTGATATCAGCACAGAGTCATTAGTAGGTTCTTTAAAAGTTGTTTATTATTATTATTACCATTATTTCTGTTACATAGTTTTGTAGGCATAGGACATTTCCCTTTTTTCCCCTTCCCCTCTCCCCATTGTCGTCCCTGTTTTATAGTATTACAGTCGTTCAGCTGTAGTTTCAGCTGCAGTGTTCTACACTTGACATGTGTCAGGACATTGTAGGGATGAGCAGTGGTAGGGAGTTTAGTATTTTGTTGTCTAGGTATATTTAGGGGTTTTATTGGGGATCAACTTTTATTCAGGAATTTAGATGTATACTGTAGTTCTCTTTGTTTCCCAGTACTCTGGTCTCCATTACACCGTTTGTTTATAAGATCATAGGTGTGTATTTGTTTGCCTTTAAATCTTTTTGTTTTGTATTTTGGATGCAATCGTTGTTCTTTGTGGATATGGAAAATAAATTGCACCTCAGGAACATTGATAAAGAACACAGGGATGGCAGGTGCGGAAGGCAACCCTGTGACCTCATGACCTCAGCAATCCCACTTGCTTTCTGGGCAGGTGACCAGCCCACCGTGGCTCACTCTCCTCTCCCACCTGCTCTACACAAAATTCCTAATGAAATTCCCCAACCACAGAGCTCTCTCGGTCCAATTTCTACATCTGAGACTTTACAGTTTTCACTTGCCACTCTGTTATTGTCTAATGATCATTTTAAATTTTTCATTCTTAATTGGGTAGGCTGCAGGCAAGGCCCACTGCTCTTTTTTTCTGTCAGACTGGCTGCGCTGAACAGAGTATTCCATAGGCAAAAACAAGAAAGACAAAGAGCTAAGACCAGAAGAAATTGGAATATATATTAAGAAAACTGGCACAGGAAAAAACAGGTCTTTCTTGGAATTTTTGTAAAGGTTTCTTTTTTTCTTCCTTGAAGAAAAAGCCAAACCATAAAGTAAAACATACTTGGTTGTTAATAAACAAAAAACTCCCATCTCTAAAATTGAGATTTTTTTTTCCAAGACAAACCAGCGTTTTGCTCCATCTGCTTTTCCTAATAAGCACATTTCATTGAACCCTAGTCCTTGTGGTGGGAAAAATGTACATATCCATCTCCAGACCCCAGGCCTTCCTAGGCAGGAAAGTATGTACTTGGTGGTTTCAGAAACACTTAGCTTCTGTTCATTTCACCAAAAGCAGCAAGTCTTCAAAAATAGGGAAATTTTTCCAGGCACTCAGCCCCTAGAACGACCTTGTGGGAATGGGTCTTTAAATGCCACCCACCCACTTGGTGTCGCACCACTTCACAGAGGGTTGTGGGCCATGATCTGGTACAGCATGCAGGTGCCAGACGACACCTCTCACAGGACAGCTGATGGGTGGCTGCACCCAGGCCAAGTTTCTGGCATTCATCACAGCCCCTGTGGTGTGCCTCACAGGCCGGCAGCTTGGTGCTTCCTCTACATTTGCTGTGTTTTTCACAGTGCCAGCTGTGTAGGGGAGGTCAGAGCTCCTCTGGAGACAGATTTCCCTGTGTGGGGATTGCTGCAGAAATAAGTTCACCATCCAGCTGTGCACCCAGCTGTTCAGACCCAAGCATGGCTGTCCGCTGCTCCATGTCTAGCTGCAGCCTCAGTCACACCACTCTCTCTGTGCCCCGTGAGGGACCCATGCATGCTGTAGGTCTTATCTGTCCTTTAGCCAGGCAAGCACATCGAGGATGTTAGTCCCAGGCCTGGAGCAGCTCAGGACTGGTGAGCATCTTAGGAATTTTCTAATCTGGCCCTCCACATACACAGAGGAGGAGAATGCGATCTGCAAATGCAGCAGTGGCCTCCTGATGGTAGCATTAGCATCGCAACCAAGTGCAGAACTGGTGTGAGTGCGTGGCTTCATCAGAGCACTTGTGCTTCATGTATTCATCAGAACTCCCACATATATCACATTTTTCACTAAACATCTGCAAGGTAGTTGCACTAACGACCGACCTAGCATGACCTTTGAAGAAATCAACCACATGGTCAGTGGAAAAATAGGTGATGATATTCTGATATTGTAGCATTAGAACTTTTGTCAACCCCTGCTGATACTCACTGCATGTCCATGGGCAAGACTAGAACCTTCCAATGACCAGATTGGGTGATAAGGTCAGTTACGGCAACTTGATACTTGAAGTGTTAACATTTCCTTTCCTCCTAAACATGTGTTTTGTTTGTTCTTCCCACCAACTCACCATCTATCAGGGACACTCCTAGAGAGAGTAAGGTCAATATAGTTCATGTGCGAAAGGATGTCAGGTGAGTTTTGGGGTGCATGAGACTTGGTGGTTAAGAATGTTCCAAAACTTGGGGCCAGTGCAGTAGCCAACCGGCTAATCATCCTCGCTGAGGCACTGGTATCCTATAGGGGCACTAGTTCATATCCTGGCTGCTCTGCTACCCATCCAGGTTCCTGATTGAAATCTGGGAAAGCAGCCAAGGATAGTTCAAGTCCATGGGCTCCTGCTCCCACATGGGAGACCCCAAGGAAGCTCCTGGCTCCTGACTCCGGCTTCAGATCAGGTCCACTCTGCATGATGCAGCCACTTGGGGAGTGAACCAGCAGATGGAAGTCCTCTCTTTATCTCTCCTTATGTTTGTAAATCTGTCTTTAAAATAAAAATGAATACTTAAAAAAAAAAGAATGTTCCAAGATGTAAGGTACACATTGATTGATTGGCCTTTGGTGGGCACCTGAGTTAACTCTTTGCTGCTTGTGAGATCAGCTTGATGTCTGTGCTGCTGATGCCCATAGAGGGCAGTGTTGCTTGGCTGAAATGGTTTTCGCAGCCAGCACAAGGGGCAGACTTCCACAATCCATGGACAGCGTCTCTTCCAAACCAAATGTGCACCCAGCTCGTGTGGCGTGCAGACCCTAAGCTCTCATGCCATCCTGTCTTGCAGGCTATGTGGCTACCCTCCCTTCTACGACGAAAATGACTCCAAGCTCTTCGAACAGATCCTCAAGGCTGAATACGAGTTCGACTCCCCTTACTGGGATGACATCTCAGACTCTGGTAGGCATCCCCCACCAGTTCCCCCTGCCCAGAGACACACATCCGGCTCTCAGTGGGCAGTTCCTCCCTGCCCCCACCCCCACAGCCATGTTGATGCCAGAACCCCAGGCCTGCAGGCTAAGAGTGATCCTTAGCCATTGAGGCTGCTACAACAGAATCACCGGAGCTGGGCACTTAAACAGCATCAGATGGACAATTCCTCAGAGTCCTTTGGGTTGGTATGGCCAAGACCAAGGTACCCAGTGGGTTCAGTGTCAGGTGAGGACCTGCCTCCTGGTTCATAAGGGGTTATCTTCTCAGCATGTCATCATGCAACAGAGGGCATAATCTATAGTGTTTCTGTTCTCTGGAGCACTGATCTCATTCATGAGGGCCCTGCACTCATGACTTGATTTGGGAACAAGGCTTTCAACATAACGGCTTAAAGGGGATCACCACATTCAGTGCCTAGCAGCTCCTGGGCAGACTCCATCAGTTCCATATCTAGACCTGACTTGTCAAGTGAAGGGCAGGCTTGGGACATTCACCCCTCCTAGCCCTGTCATGACCTGGGTGCTCCTGACCTGATGTTAGCTAAACTGAGCACTGACCATGTATTGAGCCACTTGATTCTTTGTGCCCATGTACCCCATTCCTCAGGACAGACCATCAAGTGGGCATGAAAGTCATGCCCATTTGACAGATGAGGAGACTGAGGCACCAGAAGGTGAAACACCTGGACCCAAACCAGCTAGTGGGCAAATAGTGGAGCTGGGGTTAAAACCTAGGCTGTCGGGCCCGGCGCGGTGGCGCAAGTGGTTAAGTCCTCGCCTTGCACGCCCGGGATCCCATATGGGCGCCGGTTCTAATCCCGGCAGCCCCGCTTCCCTTCCAGCTCCCTGCCTGTGGCCTGGGAAAGCAGTTGAGGACGGCCCAAAGCTTTGGGACTCTGCACCCGCGTGGGAGACCCTGAAGAGGCTCCTGGCTTCGGATCGGCATAGTATCGGCCCGTTGCGCTCACTTGGGGAGTGAATCATCGGACGGAAGATCTTCCTCTCTGTCTCTCCTCTGTGTATATCCGCCTTTCCAATGAAAAATAATAAAAAAATAAATCTTTAAAAAAAAAAAAACCTAGGCTGTCCACTCCATTACTTCTGCCTGGGTTGTGATGCCGCATTAATGTCCCTAGGGGAATAGAAGACCCACATGAGTGGGCCAGAGCTCCAGGCCTCAGCTTTCTTCCACAAGGAACTTGTACTCCATGCACCAAGGAGAAGAATGGGATAGGGTAGTGAACAGGACAGCAGAGCGCTTGGTAGTGCTTGCTGAGCTAGTGAAGTACAGTTGTCCCGTTACTTCTACCTAACTCCCTGGAAACACCTTGCTTGCTTCTTCCACCTTCTAAAGCCAAGAAACATCATTCTATGGAACTATCAGGAAACAGCTACTTAAGTGGTGGGTAGGAGTTGTTTTTGCAACTCAGATGGGCTCAGCCTGTCCTTAAAAGCCCAGGTCTGCAGGCAGGGAGTTGCCAGGCCTTGCAGTGTGTCAGGTTTCAGGTCAGTACACAGTCAGCTTGCAGACAGTCTCAGTAGCCTGCTCTGGGCCATACCCTCTCTTGGGGCTGCCCCCTGCCCAGCAACCTCCCACCTCTGCCAGGGGTAATGATCTGAGTGGGATGCCCAAGGCTTCCCCTAGCACCTAGGCCTGAGACCTGGCACGCTCAGTATAGATGCTGGGTGGGTTTGGTTTTATCAGCCATGCTGGACACAAGGAGAGGGCATCACCCAGATAGCTGCTTACAGTCATGGTGAGCTGAATGCAAGCACAGGATCACAAAGATGTCTTCATCCGTCTTCTCTGAACAAAAGGTGTTACTTAAAGGCAGAATGGAGGCTGGGGCTGGAAAAGCAAGAGCTGCCTCTTGGTTCACTTGGTCGCCCCTGAAGTCCCAAGCTTTGCCTTCGTCTTCCCTACCCCGCCACAATGCCCATGCCTTTGAATTATGAGGTTCCAGTAGAGTCCATGGAGGGCTGGTTTCCTGTCTTCTATGTTACATCTCAGGCCCTGGGAGTATCCAGCCATCCAATCACAAGCTCCAAAATGTGATTCTTTCCCTTGTGTCTTCTCTTTGGAACAGCAAAAGACTTCATTCGGAATCTGATGGAGAAAGATCCAAATAAAAGGTACACTTGTGAGCAAGCAGCTCGGCACCCATGGTAAGAAAAGTCACCAAGTCCATCCCTACCCTCCCCGCCCGCCTTGCTGCCCAGAGCCAGCTTTCTGTTGTCTGTTTACAATCAGCAAATCCCCTTAGCAATAACTGCTCCTCTCTCCAGAACACACACGAGAAGCCACGCATGCAAAGCATAGCAGTGATGGTTCAGTGCACAGAGTTGGTAGGGATCACTTTTATTGAAGGTAATTGCCCACTGAGGCGTTAAGACTGAGATTTCATTCCTTGGGTTTATGACTCAGGAGTTAAAGGAATTGAAGTGTTATATATATATGTATTTTTTTCCTTTAAGTTGATTTACCAAATGATGTTTCTTAAGTTAGAACTCAGCCTCATCATCAAATAGCTGTTACTTTGCACTTAGACCTAACTTCTCTGAGCTTCAATTTTCTCATCATTAAAACAAGACTAGGAACACCTAGCTTAAAAGGCTGACATAAGAAATAAGAAAACTACGGCAATAAAAGGATAAATACAGTGGTGCGTGATAAGGCTTCAGTCATTCCAACCATGTTTACTGAAGCAACTTGAGCATCTATTTTTATATAAATGCCAAGTGTGGTAAAATACTCAATATTAAAAATCAATGGACAATACCACAAGTTTAGGACAAAAACCCCTTTAGAGGCCTTCCAGAGAAAAGCGAGGGTCCACCTATTCAGTCCACCATCTCATAGCCACCATCCCATTTGCCCCTGTTCTATCCTGCTGGCTAAACTTGCAGATGGATGGAAACCTGCCCCATATCATGATGTGAAAAGGGGCTTTCTCCTCCTACACTCATATTGAACCCTGACTGCTGCTGGAAGGTGAGGCTTCAGGATGTGATGAGGTTGTTAACAAGGATTCCTGTGTGTCTCCCAGAAGCTGATCCGTTGCCTACAGAGCTGCTTGTTTCAGGCAGGGTGGCCCCTTGGCTGCCACCTCTTCCATATAGGCCTCCCGCTTCCCTCCATTTTACTGCCGTGCACTGAGGCAGCATCGGACCTCTTACTGGCTGCCACCCTCTGATGTTAGGTTTCTCAGCTTGCATAGCCAAGAGCCAATACAACGAAATCTCTTTTCTTTATAAATTACTCCATTTCCAGTGTTCTGTTATAGCAACAGAAAATAGATGGAAACATTTTATTCCAGGGAAGGACCTGTGCATAGCTCATTTATCCAGGTCACACTGTTCTGCATGGCCAACCCTAATTGTATTGACACACAGGCTAAAGCAATGGAGGAGACGAATTGATCTCAAGTAACTAAGGCCTTGGCTCACATGACTGCAGAGATTGACAAATCCATATCCTCTAGGGCAGACCAGTGATTTTGCATCTGAACACAGTATGGAAGCAGAATTCCCTCCTCCTGTTTGATTTTAAGGTTGTCAGCTGATTGTGTGAGGCCCATCCGCATTGTTGCTGTCAATCTGTTTTACTCCAGGTCCACAAATTGCAATGCTAATCTGTACTGTTGTGCACAGGTAGCTGCATTGCCCCTCCCACACACCACACCTCTAAGACGACAGTCTCGCAGGGAACATGTGGGCCACCTGTTGCTCAGCCTGACTCACTCAAACAATAACAGTGTTCAGCCCAGGGCCTCCTGCCACTTTAGCCCAGTTTCCAAGAACTGGCTGCCACCGCCACTTCAGCATGGGTATTCTTTTCTGAGCATGCAGCTTTGAAAACTGGGACAGGAGGAAACAAGGCTCTTGGGGGAGAAAACTCTTAATGAAGATGCCAATGGTTCCCTTAGTGGCTAGGTGACACTGGCATCGGATGCATGCCCTTCCAGATGTCCCTGTCTGTCTCACTGCTCGTTGGCTGGGGGAAGAGGCTCCCTAGCAGGTGTACCAAGTGGAAAGCCCATTTGCAGGGGGCTCCTTTCAGGGTATCCTCTGGCCCCTGTATGGTGTGTTCAGCCCTGCTGGGAAAAGAGAGGAATGTATTTAGAGAAGAAGTTGCCATGAGTGGGGAGTATCCACCAGGATCTTACACTCAGGGCAGCCTGGCACAGTCAGTGTCCCATTCCAAAGTGAAGGCAAGGCTGGGTGGGGGTGATGTCTTGTCTGAATAAGCTCTGAGCTTGTTCCTGTCCTTTTCCTCATGATCTGTGGCCTCCAGGCTGTTTTGTGTCCAGCATGGTGTGGACCTGGGAGGTTAAAAAATGTTCTCCCTTTTCAGTTAAACTTTGCAGTCAGTCAGAGGGCATATACATGCTAAGTACCTTAGCATTTACAAGGTTAATTACATTATATCTTTTTTAAAGAAAACTTTATTTTACTTGAAAGACAGAGGGAAACGGGGGAATCTTCCTTTCACTTGTTCTCTCCCCAGTGGTTGCAGTGGCCAGAGGTGGGCCAGCCTAAAGCTGAAAGCCAGAAGGTCATTCCAAGTCTCCCACTTGGATACAAGAACCCAAGGTGTAGACCATCCTCCACTGCCCTCCCAAACCATCAGCAGGGAGTTGGATCGCAAGAGGGGCAACAGGGTTTTAAAAATGGCACCATATGAGATGCTGGTGCAATGGGTGGAGGATTAGCCTGCTCTATCACTTCACCAGCTCTGATGCATTATATCTCAGGACAGCCTGGAGTTTAATAGTTCGGTGCCACAGCAAAGGGCAGGTGGAAGGATTGGAGCCCAAAGGAGACTGAAACCAGAACAGAGCTTTATCCAAATGGTGGGGGTGGAAGCACAGGCTTGGAGGTAGAGTGAAGCCCATGCTGTGGTTGGGAGGGTGTGTACAGGAGAACAGTGAGTTATGTGAGTGCAGGAGCATGGGGCAAACAGGTGTTGCTGAGTGAAGTCCTGCAGAGCTCAGCTCAGCCGGGATAGCCAGAGGCGTGCCCAGGGCCCGTTGTGTGTATGTTGTGCCCAGAGCAAGCCAGCCTGAATACTAGACCCAGCAGAGAAATGTGGAATTGGCTGACCTCCAGCAGGAGCATGAAGGTATCAGGGAGGGCTGTCTTATCCATTGAGCTTCTGATCATGCAGGAGCTGGGATCAGAAAGGGGGGCCAGTTGGAATCAGGTTCTGATATCTGAGGAGCCTAGGGAAGGTACATCCCCTTGGGAGATGATGCTGGAGGCATTGGCAAGTGAGTTTTAGGGGATGCACCATGGTAGACAGAGCAGCCTAGAGGTACAGTGCAAACCTCCTCCCAGCCAGCCCAAACCTGCTGAGGATGGAGTGAAGCTTTGCTGGAACAGCACAGCCCGTGTCAGAGCCCCTTTTAAAAAAGCCTCCTGGCCTGTGTTTCAGGATCGCTGGTGATACGGCCCTCAGCAAGAACATCCACGAGTCCGTCAGTGCCCAGATCCGGAAGAACTTTGCAAAAAGCAAGTGGAGAGTAAGTCTTGGGTTCACGGAATCCACAGGACCTCAACCACTACCCCATGCCCCACAGTGTTCTCCACAGGGTGTGGTAAAGGTGATATCCACCTGAGCATGGTGGGCCTGCATCCCCATCAGCTCACTCAAATCATGAGGACGTGGAGGGCAGGAGCAAGCATCATGGTCTAAGGGGGAGCCCAAGTGTGATCACATGACCCCCCTGTGTGATTCAGAGATGACGGCAGGGTCAGCTCCTCCTCATTGGCTGTGTCTTTGCTGTGTCTTTGCTGGCACTTAGAATTGAAGACTTCCATTCAACTCAAAGGTAGAATATCCAAGCTACATTCATTCGCATTTTCCAGTAAATATTTGAGCATAGAGGTTTTGTGATCACCATTGATTACCTAAACTCTAGCAGCGTAACTAAAGACCTGCTCTTTCTTAGTCCCTGCGATCAGAGAGAGACTGTACAGAAACATAACCTATGCCACTGACCTACTTTAAGCAGAAGAAATGCTGTTGATTTAGGACAAATCTAGTCATCATAGGAAAACAAATGCAGTTTCCAAATGCCAAATTTTTAAAGTCTTACAATATGCCTTTTATTTTTAAAAGTCACTTTTATTAAATTATGGAGAGATCTGTTCTACATTTATTCTATCTATATAAAATCTCTCCCAAATATATTTTGACAGCTAGAGGTTTGAAATGAATTAGCGGGTGTTTGGGAGAAGGTACCAGACAAGTCTCCTAGATTGGAGCATCGTGGGAATGCTTTCAAAAGTTTGCAGTGGTTAGAGTAACAGGATAACTGACAGGATGCAATTGGAGAGCCTTCTAATGAGCTGGCCTGTTTTTGCTTTCTCCCCTCTCTGTGATGCCAGCAAGCGTTTAACGCCACAGCTGTCGTAAGACACATGAGAAGACTCCACCTCGGCAGCAGCCTGGACAGTTCAAATGCAAGTGTTTCGGGCAGCCTCAGTCTGGCCAGCCAAAAAGATTGTGCGTATGTAGCGAAACCAGAACTCTGTAGCCGGCAGAGTGGACAGGTGCGGGGGTGGAGATGAGGGACCTGCCATCTGCCCAGCACCTGTTGGCCAGGCACTTTCAATGTTTTATCCCATCGAACCCTCACAACAGCCCTAAGGCGTCACTGTGTCGTAGAATCACTTGGTACCCACTCAACCATAGGGACCACCGACCGACATGTGCCACCTGTGGGTAAGACATCTGTGACCCGGGTTCTCGGCTGCCGTATTGGTCCAGTCAGAGGCCCATGTGCTTTCAGAGCTGTCTCCCTTGCATCTCATTTTCCCTTCATTTCCTGAGTGGAGGAAGGGAGGGCAGAGACTCACGGCTTTTGATGAGGATGGTGACCACTAAAGCTCACCTAGGGAGAGTCATCAAAGCTTCGTGAAAAATGCCTGTTAGGAAAATACAACACATAGATTTGAAAAACTTTGGAAAGAATTTCTTTGTTTTGAAAGATAGACTCCCAGAGAAAGAGGTGCATGGTCATGGAGAGATTTATCTTTTATCCACTGGTTCATTCCTGCAGGTAGCCACAATGCCCAGGGCTGAGCCAAAGCTAGGAGCTTAGAACATCCAGCACTCCCACATGGGTGTAGAGGTCCAAGCACTTGAACCATCTTCCACTACTTTCCAGGCACATTAGCAGGGAGCTACATTGGAAGCAGCCGGAACTTCAACCCATGTCCATATGGGACACCAGCATTGCAGACAGCAGCTTACTGCACAGCACCACAACTCCACCCCTTCAAAGACTTTCAATGCCCAAAGAAACTCACATTTCAATCCCATTTCCACAAACTTTTTGGAGTCCCTTTGCATGTTTGTGTGGATTTGCTACTGGGTTGTTCCTGGGTTCCCCTTGACTTTTCCCATCCCCTATCCCCATCTCCTCAGCCATGAACTGCCCCCTGCAACATACACCCTCTTGTCTGGCTTGGGAGAGGTTCCTTTGCTCCCTAAAGTACTGTCCTGTTAGGCACGCAACCTGGAAGGCTCCCTGTCATGTGGCTCAGCCCTGCACACCAGATCCAGGTCCCTTCCACCCTCCAGGCAGAGCATGCAAATCCACAACCCAAAACCAGTCCTGGCCAGTAGCAGTGAAGCCCATCTTAATAATTTATGGTAGATGACCCCAAACCCCTCCTCAACACACCCTATAAACGGGTGTTCACCATGAGAGCCGAACTTCATTTGCCTGGGGTCTTCCAAGACCCCACACATATGCCTGGGAAAGGTTTGAGTGTAGCTGGGGAGGAACTCAGCCAGGCATAATGGTCAAGGGAGCCTCTTTCTTTCACTGTTTTCTGTGTCAAAAACCACTTCCTGGTCAGGAGCACAACCATCCTGGCTCAAAAGCGTGCTCAGGGTTTCTTTGTTCTGCATGCAGCTCTTGTGAGCAATGAATAGTGAAGTTCTTCCTAGGACAGTTAGTCTGATGCCTACTACGTGTTAAGTGCTCAATTGCTGGAACCTATCCCGTCACACGGGCTTACTACAAAGCTGTACCTGGAGAGTATTGAACACGTAGAAAGGGTTTCCTAGGGCTGGGTTAAAGGCAGACTCTGGGGCACCCTGCTCCCCAACCTCAGCCCACGTGGCGCCATGGCCTATGGAGAGGGAGCACCTGTTTGCTTCTGACATTCTTTGTCCATTGTCGTCTTGCAGGCCTGGTACCTTCCACGCTCTGTAGTTTCATTTCTTCTTCGTCGGGGGTCTCAGGAGTCGGAGCTGAGCGGAGACCCAGGCCCACCACTGTGACAACAGTGCACACTGGAAGCAAGTGACTGTCCCCGCCACCCCACCTGCCAGAGAGGGGGCGGGGCCAGGGGCAGGGAGCCACTCCAGCCAGACCCCAGCCTGCATGGTGCGCCTTCCTGCCTAGGACTGGAAGACAGAAGTTTTTTATGGCCATATTTTATACTGCGACTCTGAAGCGTTCATTTCTCACAAACTCTACTGACTCAAGGGGAGCTGTTCTCATAGGACCTGGTGCTGTACATAGGAATCCTGCAAAGCTCTAACCGACGGGCCTGCCTCTCTTCTCCCCAGCCGCCCTCCATCCCACTTGGCTCCGTGTAGGTGACTGTGGTATATCCCCTCCCACGCCCGCCATCAGTGACATGCACACACACACACAAAGGTTTCAACTGGATTATTTAAATATTGCTAAATATTGTGCGTTAGGGTTCGATTTTGTTTTTCCTTTTAAGAAGTTTGTCCTTGCCAACCCTAGCTCTCAGTAACCTGACTTCTCTCTAGCTTTGGCACTCTTTAAGGGTAGTTTTGTATGATCCTTTAAAGAGATTTTCCTTTCCTCCCCTCCGAGGGAAATCTTCATGGTGTTTTTGGAATCTGTCTCCAAGGCTGAGAGCACACTTGACTCCTCTTTGTCTTTTTTTCTTGTCCCCCTGCTCTCATAGATGTCATCTCTGTGGTCCTGCAGGGCTCACCTCTCTTCAGGGGAACTTTGGGAGGAAAGCTGCATGTCAGCACTCCTCCCAGCAGCCCCTCAGGGGAAGACCCCATCCAGCTCCAGTCCCCAGGGAGGGAGCTCTTGGGCCATGATGGGTCAGAAAAAGGCAACCTGCTCCCTTCCCGCCCTTCCCCGTACTCACACACACCAGGCTACACTTCATATGTAGGCTGAAGAGCCGCCCATAAACAGAGACATAGGAGCTTCCCTTATAAGCTGCTCACCCACAGCCCTCATTTCTCATGATGGAGGGACAGGTGACAACTCTGATCTCAGCTATGCAGTTTTCAAAATGAATCTCTTTCTCTCTGTGACTTTTTTTTTTTGTATATCCATTTCTAATCTTAAATTCCAAATGGCCTCCAGCACCCACAGTTACTTCTCCATATTTGTAGCCCAGTCTTATAGGTGTGTTGTTCAAGTGAAGGTAAAAAAGTGATGTGGAAAGGAGGCTCTTTCTCTGGGATGGTAAGGAAAGGTGACCTGCTGTGTGGTCAGGACACTAACCACTGCCCAGGTGGCTCTGCAGGCCTAGGGGACTCAACATCAAAGGTCTGTGGCTAGACAGGACAGCAGAGGCCCCAAGGGTTTCCCAGCATGCAGTACTGTTAGTGCTACAACCAGAAACTCGGGGGTCATTGTGGATCACTGGGTTGGAGAGGTGTGTGGGGAGAGGGAACCATGCAAGCAGCCTACAGGTGTCAGCTTTGCCAAAGCTGCCCCCAAGTCCTCATGCCAGTGTGGTACCCTGAGTTACCACTCCACGTGGTCAGCCTCAAACCTGCAAATCCGGTAGGTGTCTATACCCAGGAGGTCTGCCTGATGGCACAGTCACTTTCCAGGCTGTTGTCCTCTGACCCTTCCACAGTAAGCTGCTCGTGGAAGGTTCTGTGAAGCCATCGTTGTCACCTCCACACCCTTTGCCTATGTTAAGGCCAGATGTTTAGGGATGTACCCCAGTGCTCCCCAACACACACACCCTTTTTGTTACTACCCTCAGCAGTCTACCCTGCCTCTCAGAGCACATGCAAGAGTAAATATGGAAAGGCAGGCAGCTTCGCTACCTTGATTCAGGCACATGCATACCAGGTGAGACATCAAGCTTTTCCATTTATGTAGGAAAAAGCCTGGAAAATGCCAGCAGACCCAATCGAGAGGCGAATGTCACCTGAGTTAGTATGCATCCCTGCCCCCAGCACCTTCACAAGGGCTGCGATGTGGATATTATGAATGGTACTGGAGGACCTAGGAGCTTCTGCAGGAGGTTGGTATGACGTTACTACCTAGTGTCGTGCGAACACTGAATTTCCTACATTGTAGAGGGGAAAGTCAGTGGAAGGTTGCAAAAGTTGAAATTCTACCTGAACTTGGCACTGATGCTATGCAGATGAAGGGTTAGGAGTGGCCTGTGGTACTTGGTCATGCTCTCCAGGGTCTCTTCCCTCCTAGGAAGCAGCATTTCAGCCCAGTTCTGTTACTGGTGATGCGAGTGCTGGTGCAGGAGTGCAGCATCCATGCAGGTCATCTGCAGAGAAGGGCAGAGTCACCTGAGAGGCATGGACCGTGATCTCAGTGCCCTCCCTGCTGTTGGCTCAGTTCTTGGCCAGGCTTGGCCTGTGATGATCCTGTCTCCAGAGCATACCGGGGAGGAGCTAGTGACAGTTTTGGCCTATGAGGGGGATCTTCTGAATGCAACACCAGGAAGTGCACAATATGTGGATGCTGTCAGTTCTAAGCTATTTCCTGTGAGAGAGTTAGGACTATGGAGGGGCCCTTTACTCTTTTGAGAGTCCCTGGCAAGTCTCTGTGAACTTGCCATGGGAGTACTTGTCTTATGATCAAAGCAGGAGAGCCCTGGAATGTATCTTTGGTTAGGACCTGACATGTGGAGAGGCCAAGGTCTGGAGCTCTCACGACTGCCTGGTTCCACCAGCAGCTGCCGAGTATCTCATGCTGCCCCCAGCTCTGCTTGGTGTATGCTGAGGATGGACAAAGTCCACCACAAACTTCTTTCCTAACTCCAGAACACCCCCTTCCCCCTTCCCAAATTCGGTCTCTCCTCTCTCACTCCCTTCTTGATACAGATGGGCTGGTTTTTCAAGTGAATATTGACTTTTGAATGTCCTAGAATGCTCCTGTCCATGGCTGCCTGTCACCCACTCTCCCTCCCTTCCCCAATCCTCATCAGAAGCATGACAGGTAGGCAAGCTGTCATTCACACAGAATGTGAACAGGCACACACCCTTGGGCCCAGCAGGCTAGCAGCTTTAGTACCCTGCCTTGGCCTGGGCTGTCCACTGCTCCTGGCAGCCCCACTTGCCAGCCCAGCCCATTGGGGCCTAGCGCCTCTGAGTGGGGTGAGGCCAAAGCAGGTGGAAGCGGCAGTGGGCAGGACATGCCTAGGTGAGGTGCTTCCACCGTGAGAAACCCCATTTGGACTGACAGCACCTCCAGGACTGCTCATGGCCCCTGCAATAGACAGTGCTGGTTTTCATCACACTGCCCACCACCCTGGATTTTGTGGGAGAACAAAAGATAATCCTTCACCCCCTTTCTTTTTAAAGAAAATATGCAAACACATGGCAAAAAGAAAAAAGGGGAAAGAAATACAGGCATGGCCTAGTGGTTTTGACCATGGTCGTGATTCTGGTAACTTCTAAAATCCCCCCTAGAAAATAGGAAACAGTCACCCTCAGCACAGAAGCCGTGACCTTGGGGACTTGACAGTCAGGCTTAGGGCAATGCAGATGCTGTGGCTGAAAGGCAAAGATTGTGTCCCAAACTCTACCTACCCAGGTCTAATCTGATGCAACTTAAAACAGAGCCAATTTGGAGCAGTCCCTACTGGAGATAGACTCCGTATGTGAAAGCTTTGGACACCGTGGTCCTGTGCATGGCCCAGCCAGAACCTTGGGCTGATTGGGTTTTTCCCACTGGGAAAGCCATGCTGAATCCCATTGTCCCAGGACTATGGCCTTCCCCAAACTGAGCTGGTAACCTTCCCAACTTCACAGAAATACCATCAGTGCACGGCTAGGTTCCCTTTGCCTGGAGGAGGGCAGGCAAGGGCCAGCCAAGAGTAGCTCCTCTCTTCTCTCACCAACACCAATCAGCTGTGGTCATTTTGCAGCATCACTTCCAGCAAAGAGCAGTGCAAACCCTGTGCCTCTGCTGGTGCACGCCCACTCCGCATGTTCTAAAACTCTCCTGTTGCCCCATCACACTCTGTAAAGTTTTGCCTTTTCCTTATACATTCCAGACCAAACACTGTTGAGTTTGTTTCCAGAAGAAAATGTATATATCTGTATGTAATCCCCTACTTTTTTAGGGAGGGTACCGGGTCCTAGGTTGGGGCTGCAATTGAACCTGATGTTTGCAAGAAAGAAAAGCTGTTCCTGTCATGGGATTTCCAGAATTGGAACATTTGACCATTGGGGAAAACAGAGTCCAGACAGGGGAGCTTATTTCCTGTAGACTCCAAGGAAGTGAGAATGAGCAGATGAGGTAGCTTGAAACCCTCAGCTGTAGTTGGCAGGCAGATCTGAGGAAGAGGAGGAGGAAGGCCCACTGGGACATGGTGGTTCAGGGCCTGGCATTTACAACCCCAGAGATGCACAGGCGCTTGACCTCTCTGTGAAGTCCACCTTGCATGTCAGCCAGGGCCTGGCCCATCTCCTGCTCTGAATAGGAAAGAGTTGGCCCTTCCAGACATCCAACTTGCCTGCCACCTGCAGCGGGAGCAGCCCCGCTTGTGGCTCTGGGGGCTGTGCTTTCACAAACCTAAAGGCTGCCAATCTGGAAGCCAACCACTCAGCATGCAGCTGCCCAGTGCGGTTTTGTGGATACAGCAAGCTATGGAATGGCTTCTTGATGTCTGTGCTTTCTACACCAAAGGGACAAGCTGTTGCGTTCACCCTTTGTAACCAAGGCTGCTTCTGCATCCGCCGTATCTGTTGTCTTTAGCTTTTTATTTTTGGTCTTGAGGAACTTTCCATACAATTATTCTATTGTCTGATGATTCGCTATATGACCGTATTTTCCTGACAGGTGATTTTATTTTTCTTATGGACAGGAAAAATATAAAATGAAAGGGACTGTTTGAGGCTTCAGTCAGATGATAAGACATCACTAGAGACTCTGAAGCCTCAGACACAAGCTAAAATGCTGCTCAAACACAGCAACAATCTTAGTCTGAACAGACTAGGATTGTCGGCCTAGTTGGAGAGTGAAGGCCCTGCAGCAGGGTTGGCAGAAGGAAGGGGGCTTAAACATTGACTTAATTGTCAGCACCAATATCCGCCACCTTCTTCCCGGGATTCCGAGCTCTACCGAAGACAGACACCGTGCAGATGTTGCCATGTCACAGTCATGTCTTTGTTCTGGACGAGAGGGGCTGCGTGTTGCAGAGAACATTAGCTTAGGTGAGAAGATGTCTGAGGGATGTTCCACCCAGAATAATCATTGGAACAATTTCCAAATTGGCTTTCGTTGCTACACATCATGTGATTGCCCTTCTTTCGGCTCCCCCAGCAGTGAGCATGTTTTCCAAAAGCTTACCAAGATAAATCCCAGGAACTTTTCCCTCTCTCCTATTACCAGGCTTGTGGTTGGTTCAATTTCTCCATTTAAAAAAATGTGCTTGTCCAAAAGAAGGGAAACAGTGCATTTATCCCGTGCATGTAATAAACTCTGCAAGAAGTTTAACTCACATAGGTTTGCGGCACTGCGAAATTGTTCATGGGTCTCTGTAGCAAATGATTCTCTGCCTTGACAATCATGTATACATATCGAGATTTCTATCATAATGGTAATGAGACTGATGACTCCTTGTTTTCCTCCAATAAAGACAATTAATCACCTTCAAGTGCATCTCACTTGTCCTCAAGTGTGGGGTTTCACATCTCTTTCCTTCTCTCTCAGAAGTTTGGGGGTCAAAGAAGGAATTTAAATGGAGACCACAGAAATGCATGATTTCCCCCCTGTTCAGATGTTTCATTCCACCTACCTGATGAGCAGGAAGTAGGAGGGCCAGCAAAGCATGGCTTTGGGGTTGGGTACAGGTGACTGGGGTCAACACCTGCCGGAAGAAGTGCCTCGTTTTTTTTCCTGGCTACTATAGTGGGTGGCTGGAAGCTAGCCTAGGCGCTCAGAATTCACCATCTACATCTTCATGATTGGTGTGAAAGCATATCCACCTTGATTTCTAGAAGGTGCCTCCCAGTAGGGGGTGACTTGGCAGCCCAAGGCTTGAGCACTCCACAGGCATGCATTTCTTCACCACAGCCTGTCAGTCTCAATGCCCAGAGAAAGATTGCCTTCCCAACAGAATCATGGCTGCTACTTTTTTTTTTAACTTTACTCTGGGGAGGAGAGGAGGCAGGAGAATGAACTGTGGTTCAAAGTTCATGAAATATGTAAGTGCTTATGTGGAGAAGAAAATCATGAATTGGATGTGTGCTAGAGAAACATAGAAACCCGACTCACACACAGCCAGTTTCGAATGAAAACAGCATGAGCCTTAGTGAGCCTGAAATAACAGCATACACTGTGTAGTGTCTGTGGCTCTCTGAGTTTCATTTTGCTGTTTTCATTCCTATCCATAATGGTAAGGTCGGTACAGATGGATCGAGTCACTGTGACTGGGAGGCATGGGTTAATGCTGAGTTTATGAAATCAAAGAATTCTGGAGCCTATTCTTTTTGAAAGGACTATTAAATATAAGGCTCACTGACCAGCCAGAACTGAAAATTTAGTCCAAGAAAATGTGCAAAAACTCAGACTTCCTCTAGGAACTTGGTATTTACTGGGCTGTAGAGCCCAAGTGTTTAAGCTGTGACCCTCCCTCCCCGCCCCCATAAAAGACTCAATTTGGGTATCTTTTTTCCAGCTGAATTTTGGGCTTCTAATTTTGTTGTGACCGTCTATCACTGACCAGAACACATGTAGGAGATGGCTTTAAAAACAAGAACAAGAGGTAAACAAATGCCCTCTGGTGCAGTCACAGGATTGTCCATCTGGGACAGCCAGGGTTGCACTCAGCATGTAGAGGGCCTGACAGGCAAAGAGGATACAAACTACTCCGCAATCCTCCTGGGTCTTAAAGAGGATGACTATAATATACAAACTACTCCATAGAAGGAGGTTCCAAGAACATTATGCCTTACACACACATGCATTCCAGGCTGTTTGGGTTTCATTATGTTCTTGGGAGTGCGTATAAGTGGGCCTCAAAGAGTTTGTGGAAAATTAAGTTAAACAATCATGTGAATTTTCTTGGAGCTTCT